CCCACCGGCAGCTGCGTTGATTGTACCGTACCCGGCATTTGTATCTGATTGTACAAGTCATAATCATACTAATACTATAAATCTAAACTCATAGATGGATGTTTGTTAGTTTGTAGCCTAAACTGTTGAATGGATCTGGATGAAATTCGGCATAGATGTAGAACATAGTCTGGCACACCTAGCAAACTTTTGTTTTTTTTTAATTCACGCGTACGGTTCCGCGCGCAAAAGTTAGTAATGTTATAGTACAAAATTTTAGATTAAAAAATGAAGAAAAACATATTAAAAACGACATCTTAAAAAAATATTTTATTAATACTTTTAGACCAGAATTGTTCTATTATTAATTATTTTATGGTCTTACAAAACAGGTGAAAACCTTAATTAATGATTTTAAAATATTCAAATTTACTATATTATTGCGAAGTTAAACATAAATGTGCAAAACTTACAGGAATGGGCTGTGCAATTTGTTGCACGACTCTTGCTGTGGTGTGGCCGGCAGACGTCAGCTGTCAAATACAGATGTATTCATAAAATAAATATTGTTTTAAATAACAGTTCTTAAATCTCATAAATATATTACTGAATATAGACTTATTTTTATATAGAGTCGCTTACAAAAATACTGCTGACTTGATAAATATACTACACGGTTTACCTACTTACTATTGGCTTGGTAAATATGCTACAAGTTTACTGACTTGGTGAATATATACTACGGCGTACTGACTTTGTGTATATGTACTATGGCTTACTGACTTGGTGTAAATTCAGCGTGGCGTGCTGATTTGGTCAATATGTACAGTGGCTTACTGACTTGATGCATATGCGCTAAGGCTTACTGACTTGGTGAATATGTATTATGTCCTACTGACTTGGTGAATATGTACTTTACTTACTGACTTGGTGTATATGTACTATGACTTACTGACTTGGTGAATATGTACTAAGGCTTACTGACTTGGTGTAAATTCAGCGTGGCGTGCTGATTTGGTCAATATGTACAGTGGCTTACTGACTTGATGAATATGCGCTAAGGCTTACTGACTTGGTGAATATGTATTATGCCCTACTGACTTGGTGAATATGTACTTTACTTACTGACTTGGTGAATATGTATTATGACTTATTGACTTGGTGAATATGTACTAAGGCTTACTGACTTGGTGAACATATACTATGGCATACTGAATAGTTGAATGTACAATGTGGCTTATAAATTGATGCAACATGTCTTACCGGCTTGATGTTCTGCAACACGACTGTCTTGCCGCCGCCTTGCAGTATGGTGACTGCGGACGAGTTGAGCAAGTTCTGTGTGGAGAGCAACACCGACTTGCCTCCAGCCTGACTTATTAGTAACTTCGGCTGTTGACCTAGCACTATTGATTTTGCAGATGGTTGCTGGAAATTTATGATTTACAAGTTAATATTGTGTAGAATTATTGATGCGTTTAATTTTATTTTTGTAAATGGCCTTTTATGGGGCCAAATTTGTTATAAATAGTAAAGCTAAGTCCACAAATAAACAAGTTGGTAAATTATTAAACATGTCAATTTTATAAAGATCTATAGATTGACATACATTAATTGATTATATATGACATTATTAATAATAGCTTGTGAATTTAACTATTATTTTAGGTTATTAACTAAGGTATGACGAAAGATTTTACACTCTTAACTTAAATTAATCATAAGTTAAGTTTGTAGACAATATTTAAAATATACCTGTAAGAGAATAGTGTTAGGTTCAGTGGCGGGCGGGTCTAGCGGCGTGCTGGTCACTTCTGTTTCTGACTGTACTGTAGTTTCCGAGTTTGCTGTAAAAATACAATTAATGTAGTAAAATTACATGCTTGAATAAATGCTTTATTTATTTTTCAAAGTTTAAAGAAGAATAATCTAAATCAACCATCGCAAAACGATAAAATTCGTTTGTCCGCGGGTGCGAATCTTACTAATATTATGCAAAAGTATGGATGCGTGTTTGTTTGTAACTACGTATTAAATGTATTTGTCACAAATGTAGAACACGTCTAGAAGACCACATAGGCTACAGATACTTCTAAATTCCGCGCAGACAAAGCCGTGAGTGACAGGTATTATGTAATAAGTTTACAGCCGAATACTGAAACGAATTTAGAACACAGCTTCGTAAGCGTCGCTTACAATCAACCTGACATCAAATGTTTTGATAGAATTTGTAGTTTAGTCGTGACCTTATTTTTCAAGACGCTATGTTTAATTGTCGTCTCAGTATTCAGCTGTTGGTGTTAATGTTATGTACCTGTGGTCAGTGGTTCGCTGCCGGTATGGTCGTCAGCCTTAGGCATCTGGTAGTTGAGTCCCTTGGCGTAGTCTGGAGGTGGCGAGGGCGGCGCAGCCGCCGGCTGCTTCTTTGCACCTTCCTCTATTTCTGTAATAACATAGTAAAGAAATCAAGAGAAAGTAATAATTGTGAGATGTACAGACGCGGTGTCATTGTGATATTATTACACAAGATACTTTAATATAACCTCTAAATTAACATAAAATCTTACTAATATTATATATTTGAATGTTTAGAGGGATGGATGGATGTTAGTCAGAGTTCGTAACCTAAACTGAAACAATCTAAATAAAATTTGTCATAGACATAGAGTATAGCCTATTTACTTTTTTTTTAATTCCACTCGGACGAAGTCACGAGCGAAAGCTAGTAATCGATAAACAAATAAGTTATTTATGAATACCGATAGTACATAGGTGATATATCACGACAAATAGTGCTTAAGATCAATATTTACATTTCTCGTTACTTCTAGAAGGTACTTACCGAGTTTCCTTCTCTTCTTGATTTGAGCGTGCGTGGCTGGCTGTTCATTGATGTCTAGCAGTTTGATGCCGGCGCGCGGCGGAGGCCGGGATATAGGCGCTAACACCCGCGACCCGGTGCGGGCTGCCCATCGAGACGGTAGACCTTTCAGAGGTGCTGGAAACAAGAGAATCCTCTTAAACAAGATAAAATTCTCACAAGTTAGGGTTGACTAGCTCAAAGTCAACACCAAGTTTGGGTTGATTTAACACATATTTGAATTTCTTCACAAACTGCAAGTTTTAATTTATTAGTTATTTGAAAAAAACATTCAACATGTCAGAGATCAAACGGGGACAAGAAATTTACAATTCCGATTGTCTAAACTGCACTAATGCTCTTAATTCACAAAACCAATAAAAATACTACTTAATATTTGAGTAGGACAAACAGCAGCCTCCGCCACTCCTCCAAATACAGAGAAAACATACATAAGTTGTATAAAATGCTTTAAAATACCAAACTACTTTCAAATCTATGAGATCCCCATAGATACTTCACAAACTACTTATTAGCTTTTAAAAAAAAACATTTTACTACTGTTATGTATGCGCTTGTACTATACATGAAATGAAACGGTCGGCTGCGTCCGACCGATACGTCTACGTGACGTCAATAAACGAGTCTATATGAAGCAAGCGCTGTTTCAGTTACTCGTTCACATATGCATCAACCAGCTACCTAACTTAAAGCTTTGTTTATGATTTTAAGAGGGGATAGTTACACATTACCATTATAACTGTCAAACTTTTTGTTTAATAGAAAAAGGGCAAACAAACCGCAGATCTCCTAATGTTAGATCTGCGGTTTGTTTGCATATTGTATTCATATTACTATTGGAATAAATCTCTAAACTCACTTGTGTCAGTCATTTTTCTAGGCATCCCTCTAGATCTGACAGGAACAGTGGGAGCTTGTGCTTTCTTCTGATTAGCTTGGATCTCCGAGGCTTTAGCGAGTAACTCACTTCTTAAAGCCACTGATTTGGGTTTGCGTTTCAATGTAAAATGTTTAACAGGATTCGGTTGTTGACCAACCTGGAATGTAGAAAATATAGAACTTTCAGATGGGATAAATATTATACATAATTATTTACAAAAGAGGTTTAATTCGACTTTTTAAACACATCTAGCATGAATGGAACAACTAATTAAAAAAAATCAAAAATTTGTTAGAAATCACATTCATTGCAATAAAAAACTTATTAATAAAGTTAATCAAAAACCTCTTAGTAAAAGTTGAAAAACCCATTACTTTTTTCAATTCAAATTGTAATCTCACGAAAACTAGTCATAAAAATTAGTAAACAGAGAAAGTAA